TCTAAATGAAAAAAAGTTTTATTGAAGAAGAAGTCAAAAATATCGATCGAATGGCATAGTAACCATATATATATATTTGTAAGAATTAAAAAGTGCGAAAAGAAAATTATTAGAAAATAACGATAAAGGAATTTTCATTATCTCGCGTATTTCCCTTTCCAATGAAAAATTGTCAATTGCGTTGCTTTCGTATCGACCTCCGTCCGACCAGCCAGCCAATTAAAATCGACGTTTCATCAGAATTCGAGAGCAAGCGAAGTCGATCGATGGAAATCGGTCGCTCGGCCATCTTTGTCTCCGGCATATTCGTGGAGCGCGTGATGTCACATAGAAAGAGAGAGTCGTTACCGTTACGCAATGGCCGGCACGACCGGAAGGTGTGTGCGTGCACGCGTGCGTGCGTGTACGCGGCGAGAAAGTTGCGTGGCCCGGGCAAACGCTGACCTTACGTACTGCGCGTGCGCGTGTGCGCGCCCGAATCGTTTTCGGACTCGATTCGGAAGCGATCGGGCCTGAATTGCGCGCGCAACTAACCCTCTCGTCGTATTGTTTCGACATCGGTCGAGGAAGTGAGGAAAGCGGAACATACCGTCGAGACGCTGTGACGACGTTGCTTCGTATATCCTTTATATTCACGGTAATTCTCGCGACGAAATAAACTTTTTTTTTACTTTCATTGTTGCGTCTATAATAAATTAGATAAGATATCGTTTTTTCTTTCTTTTCTTGATTGATCCGTAAATGTGAATAGTTGAAACGTTTGATAGACGCTTGGAATGTTGATTCCGTTGAAACAGTGTGGTTACTTTCATTGATACTTTAATAGTTGCGCATAGGTCAGTTATATAACGTTTTCACATATCTTAGTTACTATATTTAGTAAATTATGAGTGTTAGATAATAACGAACGATACTCGAATAAGCTGCAAAACATTTTGTATTACGCTTAAATATAATTGTACGTAGAATAAAATGCATTTTCTACGTTTGAAAATTGAATCGTATCCTTCGTTTGGAATTATCAAATGTAATTTGCAAGTTGAATACTATTAACGACGAATAATAATCTTGTATCGGAAATCAAAAAGTTCTTTAGAACTTTACGATAAGTCTGAAAAGATACAAATTGTCAAATCGTTAAATACTTGAGAAGAAAAAACCCGCCAAACACCAAATAATAAATCTAAGTACATACGTGTAATACGAAAAATTATTAAGCAACTTGAACAATCCTTATCAAAGTTATTTGAGTACGATATGATATTCGAAGCACGTATGATACATCGGGAATTCGTACAAAGACAAAAAAAATCTGATATTCCATGGTAATGAGCTCGATCGATGCTACGATACACCAGAAGGAAATTTCTTACGGGCGGAAACGAGATGAAAATTCCTCGTCGAAACGGCGCGAGTCGAAAGCGAGTCGGGGATGTGTGTTCGGTCGATGCGGCTAGACACCCACCCTTCTCGACTGACGCGAGGGCGAGTCAAGGTCAAGCAAGGTCGAACTCCCCGGAAAGGCTTGGCGGAGACTCGCTAACGAGCCGATATAGCCGGCCACGCGCAATTAAGATGCTCGAAGATCGTGGCAAACGAGCCTCGAGATATGTTTGGGATCGTGAGGCGGCCGTTTCTCTCTTCGTACGATTAACCCTTCGCGATCGTCCGCGATGCGTATTATCTCGTGCCGTGCATTTTTTATCTCGATCCACGCGAAAAGAATATGTTAGGTAATCGAGAAAGTTTTCATACGTTTATTTTATACAGAAGAGCGTAATAATAAAATAAAGAAGTATTTATAAAACTTGTTTTATAATGTTGTTCTACAATTGTTATTGCGATTTTTTTTTCTTTTTTCTTTTAGATTTGAATGTTTGGCGGATTACTGGATTGAAATTATCCATTTCCGCGTTGGTATCCATGATCGTTGGTGTTCAATTGTAATGAATTGTGAGGAAGCATTTAGGAAATTTCTCGATTTATAAAATCTTGTTATCTTTAAGATTAAAAAACGAAGAGTTTCGAGAGAAAGAAAAACGATGGCGATTTTATAATTCCCATATTAAAAATAGTTAATTCAACGAACATTCATTTTTTTCTACCTGCATTTCCTTTTTCGTCGCAAAAAAAGAAAAAAAAGAGTCGCAAAACTTTCTCGGTTACCTGCTAGGTAATTAAATATGGAGGACACTTTGTGTATACTTTCTACCATGTTCAACGAAGTTTTTTAACTTGCATCCAGCCTGTTAATTAATTGAATATCAATCTTCGTAAAATTTTACGATCCCGCAGAAAAATTTCTCCGTCTGTTTTCCAATCAAAATTTTCTTCCTCCACTAAACTGTACTTTTCCTTTTTCCCTGGAAAATTTCTTCTGGAAATTTTATATCGATATTATTATTATCGCAAACGAGTGAGAGGAAGAGATATTTTTCCGTCTCGAACTCCGAGGTTCGGATCATCGGATCCATCTATCCGCCCGACTATCGGCTGTGAAAAGAAAAAAAAAGGAAGCGGTCGCCGTAAAATGGTGGGTTTCGAGGGCAAAATTGTCGATTCGAGTCGAATCAATGTTATTACGGACGTCGACGACGACGGCGACGAGGCAACGAGGAAAACGAGTATGCAATCGGTAACAAGCCATTTATTTACAACTTCGATTCGTTGAACGTGCGGGAATAATTTAGCGCGTTAACACAAACGCAAAGGGCGTATATCTGTAATGCACCCTCGGCAACAGAGGCTTCGTTTCAGGGGGTGGGTTTCAGGGTTAACGGAGGTCAACGGGGATCCTTAAACTCTCCATCGATACGATCTTCGTTGGCTTCCGCGTGTATTTTAATTTTTAACCTGTTCCCTGAAATATTACGAATACACGCGTTCGAGTGGAGATCATCATATGTATACGGAATCGTATTTTTACATGTTTAAAATCAAAGGGAAATTTTTATAATTCATTTTCATATTTATAATTTTATAATTCCTCCGGATATATATATATTAAAAAGAAATGAAATCTAAGTAAAGATTTCCTTCGTGTGTCCATTATACTTTTATTCGAATAGTAGATAAGCATAAATATCCAAGTTCGATCGACAACGAAGAACCGTTTCACGAATCGGAAGGCCTTAGTTTTATAAGTAAACGGGAGGAGAAAAAAAATTAAACGCTTCCTTCTGACTATCCCAACTCATCATTCTTCGCCTCTCTCTCCACTTGTTGCAAAATATCAAATTACCAGAGAACCGCTAATTTAACCATAATGATTCAATCTATCGGGACGAAACGAATCTTCTAAACGAATTAGCCAGCCAAGCAACAACGCTACAACGTTTGGCAAGGAAAACCAACTTTACACGAATCCGCCATCTTGTTGAAACATCGAAAAATCCTTCGACGAAAAGACGTACAATTTTTTCAAAAATCGATAAGTTTTTTCGAAGTAAAAGCGGGGACCGTCGTCGAGACCCTGTGTTTTCGGATCACTGCGCGATTAGACGGATCGCTTCCTGTATAGCGATATAGATCCCCAGAAGGCTGAGGAAGCGGTGAAGGAAAGAAAAAGAGAGAAAAAAGAGAGGCGTTCTCTCGAGGGGTAGAGCGCGGCGCTGCGGAGAGGAAGTGAAAGCCGGCGTCTCTCCTTGACCCACTGCAACGTTTCTACCTTCCTTTCAGGCAGTGCCAACCTCGCGGCTTCATTAAGCAATTTCTCGTGGCAGCGGCCGGGGAAAAATCGGCGTGGAAAATCGGCTCATTCCGCCACGGTGGATGCCTTGCGAGCACGCTTTCTTCGCCAGCCCATTCCTCCGTCGATCCTTAATTAAACGAACATCCTTATCGTTATTGTCCACCAAGGGAATCACCCGAAATGTGTATATATAAGTGTGTCGACCGTCTCTTTTTATCGCGCCCACGCGGCGGATTCGGATCGGTGTTGCGCAATCGAACGTGCTCTCAGACCGGCCGCGTCTCGAGATCTGGAAAAGAATCGAATCCAAGTTTTGCTTTCTTAAAAGTGATTCGTCAATTTTTTCAGATTCGAAATTTAAGAATCCTTCCTCCTTCTTCCTCTTTTCGGCCAATAATTCGTCGTCCAAAATTTCCGAGGGGTACTCGAGTCCTCCGGACGTGTAGCGGCAGAGGTAATGGCGAGAAAGCGGGGTGGAGGAATGAAAATTCCAGGGGTTTCTCGGGGAAGGCGATCATCATCGTGGATAAATGGATCCCCCCCTCGCCGTGAATTGAATCGGTAATCACGAGATCCTCTTGGACGGGTGGTGTTTAGCCGGCAAGGCAGACGAGCGAAAGATCGGTTTCTCCTCCACTCGGTTGTGCCGTTTATCGGTTAACAGGAACTTCTCTGCCGGCGAGCGAGGAGGGGGATGACGAGAGAGGAGAGAAGAGTCGCGGATGGAAAGCAAAACTAGCCAACTATTGTGTGCGTGTTGTTGGCTGTAATTACATGGAAAATGGCGGGAGGAGGACGTCCGTCTGACGTAAGAATATCTACTACGCGAGAATATAAATCCGATGCAACTTGGACGAGCTTTTACCGACCTGCAAACCTGGAGAAAGCTCGCCACTGTTTACTTTTACTCTTGATTCTCCTCAAATCCCTGCAATCGGGGACAGTCGTTAGATCGTTTCCAATGAGTTTCTCAAAAGGACTTCTGCTATCATTGCGCTCGATCCACTGCTCGATCGGTTAATATTCGCGGATCCAATAAGAAGAATCTTTTCGGGGATTTGCCATCCTTCGTTTATTTTTTATCGAAATTGGTGGATCCAATGAAACGCAACGTACGCCACGTCAGTTTTAGGCATTTAAAAGAAAAAATAACTAAAAAAAAGTAGGAAATTTCGAAATACTCGAATTATTCCCAATTATCATTATATATTCGAACGATTAAGATCTATTTGTAGAATGGAGGCAAAAAAAAAAAAAACTTTAAAATGGGAGGAGGGAATAAAATTTAACGTAGTTGTTGTGATTTCAGTGGACACGAGGGAGGTTCAGCCACACGATGCGAGCGAGAAGGAGCAACTGGGCCTGGCCAGCGTTAAAGCGGAACCAGGATCGACCGGTACGACGACGACAACCACGGGGACACGTCTCCTGCACGGGATTCTCTCGCAGCATCCCCAGCAACACGGTCTAGGGGTGCAGAATGGATACGGCCGCCACTTGCCCGGCCATGCTCAAATGGGCCAACCGTCCTACACCACTGCCACCATGGCCACCACAAGTACGCCAGGTCAGCCCCGACCAACCTCCCCGTAATATCGTTATCGCTCGTTTGCTGTGACTGTGATCATGGACGAGTTCGAACATTTTTCTCGCCTCGAGGAATGCAGGAGATGATTGTATATTTTATAATTTTTCAATTTAATCATCGTGTCGTATGAAGGTGTAATTTTGTGTTGATTAGAACAACGGTTTAATATGATCATATATATATATGAAATTTGTGAAAAAGTCTGGGATAGAATACAATTTTCTCGAACGACTGTCACAGCGAACCTTCCTTGATAAATATTCCAGAAACTTTTTGGTATTGCCATTTCATGATTTATCAATTAACCTTTCGTTAATCTTTGCAGCCAAGTATCGCGTAAAAAAAGAAGAAAGAATTGTAACGCACGTGCGGTGCAACGTGTTGCACGCTTTCGTCGAAACCTTCCAATTACAATAGAAACGGCGGAGAAAGCAATTGGAAAGGAATAACGCGCGTAACGTTAAAGAACAAGTGAAATCAATTCGCGCGCGGCTTGAAGACGGCGGTGGGATCGCGTACAAGGTCACCACGAAAAACTCCAACTCTTCCATCCTCTTCCTTTCTTTCCCTTTCTTCTTCTCTTTATTTTATTCTCTCTCTCTCTCTCTCTCTCTCTCTCTCTCTCTCTCTCTCTCTCTCTCTCTCTCTCTCTCTCT